GCAGGCCGTTTCGTGATTCGGTGCTTTTAAACCTGTGTTTTTCCTCACGTGCACGTTTTCGGAATACATGGGGCTCGTGTCGTGTACAACCGCTGTCCTTGAACCCCGCTTAAACTTACTGCATTCTTAAACTAATTCACACACACACATAAAAAAAGAAAAGCAATAAAAAAGAGGAGCATTAACAGTATTAATTGTGATTATAGTAACTTGACCAAGTAACGTTGAAATCTTTCGACGATTGTCCAATCTTCTTCCAGCTAAAGAGCCGCAAAAATAAATTGATTCCATCTGAAATGCAACGCAACTCACGCCCTCTAATAAGCTCCATTAACCTTACGACGACGGACGGCAGAGGACACCATATGGACAAACTCGACTCTCTTACGTCACGCAACTGCGGTGGCGTTGCTGTTGGCCCTGCGCATGCGCAGACGCTTCGGCTCGGGCGAATCTGGTTTTCTGAGCCCGCGTTCAGTGCCCACGCCCGGGGTGGGCACTGCACGGGCTCGTTTATAAACAGTGCGTCAGTCGATACGAGCATAGCCTCCCATATACTGACAAAGCCTGGCAGATCGCCAGGAGAAGCGGCCGCCGAAATGGAAAAGCTGGAGCGGCAGACAACGGACCAGAGGAGAGCCACGTGATTGGCGCCCCGCTGCGGCAAAACGCCGAAGCACACTTCTCCCAAGCGAACAAGTGTGTTTCGGATATCCTCGCCACTCCAAAAGCTGTGCGCTGGCGTCCAGGTTCCCCGAGAAATGGCTCTTTGATGCTCTGTGCTACCAGATCCTTCCGCTCCATATCTGCGACCGGGCACGCTATGGCTCCGTCGTCGAACTGCCAGGCTTCGTGAGTATAGATAAGGCTATGATACGAGCCACCGAAGCCAACGCCGTTCCGCCGCGGGATGTCACGTGACCTTCAGGAAAGGCGCCTTTGTGGTGCACACGCGAAGTAGGGAAGCCTTTTTCAAGTGGCACCCCCTTTTCGATCATCGGCATTTCTCTAAACTGAGGCTCCGCTTTCTCTAAACCCGAGCTTGGATAAAAGGAGCCCGTTTTCTGAAACGTCTTTCGATGAAATGGCGTTAGATCGACCGTTCCTAAGTCCAAACGGAGTATGATGTTTGCCTCTACTTCCATTTTTTTCGCACCGATCATCCATCCGCAAATCGTTATATGACCTTCATTTTCGTATTGGCGGCCATTTTTGTTTCGACGAGGTGACACGTGGTGTAGTTCTCGGTAAGCTAAGACTCAATGTTTTTTTCTTTGTGGTATTGTCATCATTTATTTGCCGCACGGTCCGTCTACATCAACTGTCAAAAATACTGCGTACGCTACTTTCGCAACATTCCTCGGCTCCAAGCTCCATACGTGGCGCTAGTCACCACCCAATTCGAACGGATCAGCGGCTATATAGTCATCCACCGTCCACTGCTCTGGTTATTTGAAGCAGTCGCTTCTCTAAGCATATCAGCTGCTTCCATATTATTAAGCAGAACAACAAATTCATTCGCTAATTTATTGGTGACAATTTCTTTTAAACTTTATTTTTTTCGTGTTTTTTTTTCTGTCTACCTTTTTATTTTGCGGGCTTTTCATGTTTTGTTTTTACAAACGTGTCTCTTAATGTCCGTCGTGAAAATCGTGAGTCATACATTCCTTTTCCGACGTTAGGTGCTCATTCATAATCAAGTCCCAACTCAACCTCTTGGCGTTGCAAATCCGCCGCACCGAATATCATTTTTTTTTCTCGAATGAACCGTTCTTGGAGATCGAACGCACGTTTAATTAGAGCCGCCACCGCTCCCACCGCTATTTTCCGTCTTTTTTTTATATTTTCTTTTTAGACGCAAGAAGAAATCGACGCGTCTAGCATTTTTCTTTCTTTCTAATTTGAGTTCCCAGAATCTGGGTAAAACCGATCGTGTATCAAATGCGCCATTTTCCCGAACCTGCGCCGCGTCGTGTCGTATATAGATAACCATATAAAAAAGGCAACCTTAAAAATATGAAATTACTTTACTTTTTTTTTTCTGTTATATTCTTACCGTTCTCATTTTTACGATCAGATTTAAACGCTGGCTCTAACGAAAAAAAAAAAAGGAAGAAAGAAACGCCTACATGTCGATTTTTAGCTTGCTCTCAAAGATTATATGTATTCCGAATGAAGGAGAAGGAAATGAACGATTAGCAAGCATAAATTTAAAACATAGATTAAAATAAGCTTCTCAGTCAAATCTTTATTTTTTAATCTCTGCTATCCTGAGCAATTTCCGAGATCTTGCTTTTTATACGTGGGACACGAGCGCAAGAGGTATTGAAAAAAAAACAAAACAAAAAACAAAAAAAACAACAACAACACCAGTGCTAAAAGTTAAGATGGACCTAAGACGACGATAAAGAGGAGATACTACTATAGGGCCACGATCGATTCGACAATCTCTATGTATATGTTCGGAGCCAGAGAAAACAGAGCGCACCGCCGAGGCAGATACTAGAAGAGCAGCTTTACAGAGGACGTTTCAATTCAAAGAAAGAGAAAACGCAACGCGATCGAAGAAATGATGGATCGAGCCTTCACTGGGGGAGTCAAGGAAGGTTCCGCGGAACCCCCCCAAAAAAGAAGAAAAGAAAAATAAGAAGCGTAAAACGAAGGCTGGAAATTGAGGTACGAGAGAAACAAAGACGAAGAAAGAAAGAGCACGGTGATAGAGAAGACGGAGAAAGAATATGTAGACCCAACTATGCATGCGTTCGGACTGGACACTAGCACCGATGATTGCATTCGATACGAGAACGCATTTTGAACCGCCTTCGCTAGGGGGAATTACACGCACTAAACAACGCAATAACAAACAAAAAAAAAACAACATCGTTTTGACCTTGCATGTTTCCGCCGGTTTCGCGTCACGTGCTTCGCTTTTCTAAATAGACGTTCCCCTGCATTTTGCTCGGTTCTCCCCTCAATTCGTCTCCCGTTCTATTTATTCGTTATTTTCTGGAAGCTTTTTGTTTTTTCGTGCGCGTTAGTTTAGACCACGGTGGTTTAGACAGTCCCAGAGAAAATTATTGCGCGTCTAACACGGAACGAAACGTGCTTGGAAGATGCTGAAGGCTATAGACGCGGTGACGCGAAGGGACGGAACACGAGACGTTCGGATGTGAAGGGGAGGGGGGAGGGAGAGAGAGAGAGTGTGTGTGTGTGGATCAGGCCTTGTCTTCTAGGCGATATTGGCTGTAGAAGTAACAGGCCGCAATTCCGTGTTTCGCTCATCTTTATTTATAGGCTCGGATTTTTCAATCCCCGATCTTGGCCAATTTGGGGGAAAGGAGCCAGCACGTTTGGCCGGGGTCTGAGAGCGAGATGATGCATTTCCCGGAACCTGAAATAGACGAGGGCAATTTCGAGCAAATGTCGTGAGAATGCGCCTGGCCGCCGCCGTTTCGTTTCTGATGCCACACTCGAACCTCCTCCTCGCCTCTCGGTTGTCCCCTCCTGCCTTTCCTTGCCGTCTTTTTTGTATCTTTACGGAAAGCTGATTCACCATGTTGTTGCGTTTGCACGCAGAGTGTATCTACATGCGTCCTCTCCGTTACTGCTTAATTTTCTCCCTCTTTTTCTTTGTGTTAGGTGCGTTTGTTTTAATTTATTTAGAGAAGA